AGTCTATATAGTTTTTTAAGGAACCTCCATACTGTCCTCCACAGTGCCTGCACCAGTCAACACTCCCACCAACAATGTAGGAGGGTTCCCTGTTCTCCACACCCTCTCCAGCATCTATCATATGTAGACTTTTCAATGATGGCCATTCTGGCTGGTGTGAGGTGATACCTCATGGTAGTTTTGATCTGCATTTCTCTAACAATTAGCAATGCTGAGCATTTTTTTCCATATGCCTATTGGCCATTTATGTATCTTCATTGAAGAACTGCTTGTTTAGGTCTTCTGCCCATTTTTGGATTGGGTTGCTTGTTTCTTTGATATTAAGGCATATGATCTGTTTGTATATTTTGGAAATTAGTCCCTTTTCAGTCACATCATTTGCAAATATTTTCTCCCATTCTGTAGGTTGTCTTTTCATTTAAAAAGCTTTTTGACTTTGAAACTCAGTTTTGCTTTTTTGTGTCTTTTACTATAGAAAATTAAAATGGACAGATTTTCTTCCTGTTTCAGTTTTGACCAATTTCAGTTATACAGCATTCTCATTGTTAATTTTTGTAGAATATTTTATACAATAGCTTTTATATAATAATAGAATATACAATAATAATTCTCATTGTATAATTGTAGTTGTTTGAGTTTTTTGTAAGCTTGAGTGTTGCTCACAAGAGTGTTTTAAAATCCCCCAAGTAGTTGAAAATTTTCAGCTCAGACTCTCAGTGGCGGGCTGGGCCCCCAGTGCAGTGAGTGTGTCTGTGACCTGTGCATCTGCACCTTTGAGGGTTTTATTCACATATCTTAGAAAAATAACTTCACATAATGTTTTGTGAATGTCAGAGTCTGTGACGTTTTCTCTCTCTGCCTCTCTTTGTGTCTATTACATCAGTCTTATCTGTTCAGATCTGCTGTGTGGTAGTCTGTTGCTGTGCTGTCTGTCTGAGCGCATTAACGTCTCCCACTATAACTGTATTTCCCTCTCAGTTTCTGTATTTGCTGTACTTCCCTGCTGTGTTGCTAGTTTCATAAAGTTCTGCTAGTGTCATAGCCAATTGTGAGTTACTTTTTTCGCTTATTTGGAATGATTCCTTTTGTCCCCCTGAAAACCTTTTCACTTAATATTGATGCTACTTTTCTGTGTGCTTGTACCCACGTGCACCGGATACGTCATTTCCTGTACTTTATTGTTAATTTTCTGTGTTTGAAAGCCGGTTCTAATTGACCTGGTCTTTGATAGAGAAATTTAACTTACTTATATTTATTATTTTTGTATGTGTGATAATTAACATTAAAGTTCGTTTTCTACTTTTATTTGTGGGGCGAGAGATTCTTGACGTCCGCTTGATGCCTTGTGATTTGGAAGACATACTTTTTACTTTCTGTCATTCCAGTAATTGTCTTTAAATTAACAAACTGCTACTTGAACCTTTTTCCTTTTTATTATCCATATCAAGAATAAGCAGTATTTGGTGGTGCTTTTACTTTTTGTGTGTGTGTAGTTTTTTCTTAGGGGGGTAATTAGGTTTATTTATCTGTTTGCTTATTTGTTTAGGGAGGTGCTGGGGACTGAACCCAGGACCTTGGGCTTGCTAAGCACACGCTCAGCCTCTGAGCTCCACCCACACCCCCTGCTGGTGCTTTTACTTCAGTCCCATGTGTCAGTTGTACTTCTCACTTTTTATTTGTTTTAACCATTTTATATCCAGATTATTTTATTATAATATTTTTTAGAATTTATTTTCTGATGTTAGTGGTTTTGCGGGTTTAATTTTTATAACCGTATTAATTTCAGTGGTATAAATATGTCTCAGTGTTCACAGTGCTTGTGCACCTGCACCCTTGTTTGGGAATTATTTTGATTAATCTCTGTATTTGCTGGAATATGAACCATTTAGCACGCTGAGGTAGTGAGGTATGTGGCTGACATGTTTCCAGCTTAAGAATATCTTTTTTTAGCCTTCAAACACATATAGCTGGCTCTATACTTTTTGCATCATAGTCATTTTTCCACAAAATGCTGAATTTTGTTAGCTGTAGTTGAGTTATCTTGATCACATGCTGGAGTCAGCAGTGGGCACCTGGTCTGCTTCGGGGGCTCTGCTCCATCTGTGACTGGGCCCTGTGCTCTCGGCGTGGCCTGCCAGGAGCCGTTGGCCACACTGCTGGAGCTTGGTGTCGCAGACAGCAAGACTGAGGCCACCTGATTTTTGTTCCTTTGCAGATAATCCATTTGTTCTTTTCAGATTTGTGTAGAGTTTTTAGTTATATGCTGAACTGACAGCTTTGAACGTGCAGTGTCTGGGTGTTTGTCTCCGTTCGGCTTATCCGGTCCTGGGGAGGCCTTGTGACGCACGTGTCCTGGCACAGGGACGGCAGGAGGCTGTGCGGCCACCGTCTAGACCCCCGAGACCCTTGCCTTCTGTGTTCTCATCTCCCTGCGATGCTCTCTGATTTCACACTGCTGCTTTTATTTACCTCGGTCTTAGAAAAGAGGATTCTGTGTCCTCTTAAAAGAACGTGAATCAGAATTTCTAAGAAAGGACCCTATTCTTGCAGCAAGTGTGTTTTAGGAGGAGGGATCCATTCCTCTTCAGGACGGTCTCCTTTGCCGCGCGTTCTCAGTGTGCTCTGCTCTCACGCCTCACGCCCCCGGTCTGTGCTTTGAGCAGGGGAGCCTCGGTTTTGCTTGTAGATGGGATCCTTTGCCCTTTCTGGGTTTTCATGGCTTAATGAGGTTTTCCAACATTTTTATATTGGCCCATTTCTAAAATACGGGAGGGGGAATTAGATCGCCCCCTCTCTTTTTTTCCTTACATCTCATGTTTCCTTTATATGGCTTTGCCTTGTATTTTAAGTCTTTTGAAGTATTTTTTCTTTTTTTCATTAACCAAGGAAAGTACCGCCCTTTGAGTGATGACCTAGCCCAGCATTAAGCTTTGCTGTGACGTCTGGAAGCGCAGCTCTGTTCTCGGTTTTCCTTCTCGGGTGCCTGCTCACCAGGGTCTGTGATGCCGGAGTGTGAGTGAGCCTTCCCTAACCGTGGGCATTTCCTTGTGTCTGTCTGTGCACAAGCACTCAAATCAGAATTCCCTGTCTTCCTTTTTTTCACTTTTCGTTCATTCATTTGTGCATGCAGTGCTCATTAAGAAATTAGAAGTCAAATTAAGAAATTGTAAGAAATTGTATCAGTGCTTATTAAGAGGCGCTGTGTGCCCGCCACTGCTGGGAGTGCCGGGGACGCAAGGTGGCTAACAGAGGGTCCCTTCTCTCAAGTCCAGCATCTCCTGGTGGAGTGGGCCTGGTGCCTGTCTAGCTGAGCCGCGTGCTGCCCAGGGATGCGGTGAGAGGTGTGCTTGAAGCGGGTCCTTCTCAAGAGGCGACGTCTGAGTTTGGTCTTCGGGGCTGAAGAGCATGAGGAAGGCCTTCCCCACTCAGTGCTTCCCCTGCTCAGCAGCCGCGTGGCCAGTGACTTGAGAGGTGCTGTCCTGTACTGGGAGTGTACGTGGTGTAAGAAAGGCGTTACTTTTTTCAGCAAAAATGTAGTCATCTTATTTTTAAGATTAGGTAGTTCCTTATTTTAGCTCTATTTTTCTTCAGTTGTCAAGTCCCAAATAAATGTTGACACTCAAAATTCAATGAAAATGTTTTGTCCACGTTAGATAGCGGAGTCATTCTTAGTAAGAGAGGAGTGGCCGGGCCCAGGCCGGCGGGGAGCTCGTTGCCCTCTCCAGAGGCCTGTCCCGGAGTGTCCAGGCCGCCGGGCTCCTGCTCACAGGGGTCCAGGCATTCACAGAATGTCTCCTTTAAGCCCACCTGCCCTGTTCTCACCATACGTTTTCTGAACATTTGTTACTCAGAAGGCTGAGTACCTGAGACCTCTGTTCTTCCAGACTGCACTTCCTGCCTTCTCCCTGGCCAGCGTTTTCTCTGCCTCGCACCCTCGTGTCAGGAGGCTGGTTGCCCCCCGGAGAGTGGCCCCACGTCCTCTACTCGAGGATGACAGGTGTAGCTGGTCACCGGTTGAGTACATTGCCTTGCCTCAGTCAGCCTGGGATGTTTTCTTCCTCCTCCTCTCTCCGTGGACTTGAAATCACACGTGAACCAACTGGATCTGTTGCCATCATCTGGTAATAATAATTTGACCAAAACAATGCTTCCCGCCCAAATCAAAGGAAGACCAGCAGTTTGAAAGTGCAATGTTGCATCTTGTATAAACTCCAGCCTTCGTTTCACATTATTCCTGGTCATGCCATCAGTTCCGAAGAGAAAGGAACTGTGGATAATGAGTTAGAAGGCTGACAGCCCCCGTGATGCGCTGATCAGCAGTAACACCTCATTTCGATTTCGAGTGTGCTCTGCCGGATTACCGGTTAGGCGCAGCTGAGCGTGGAGTATTAACACCGGCCCTGTGTTTCTCAGAAGAGTGATATTTATCCACACTGTGTGGCTCTCCTGAATTTTTTTACATTTTGCTCTCCAGCGAAACTACAAACAAGATGTCAACAGCTGATGCGGCGTTCGCAGGAGCGGGGCTTAGACACACCTGCACTGGGGTGCCGTGCTGTGTCTGCCTCCGCGGTGGCAGGCTGCATATGGGGCTTCCTGGGGGTCGGGCTTAGCGTTCACACACAGATGTTTGTGTGCAGCTTTGTTTTCATTGACCCTCAGAGACCAGTGCATAGGAAGTGGTTCTTGCCGTATCTGAGCACAGACAGCATCTGTGTGGGTGATGTTTCAGCTTTGAGTTGTCATGCAGATTATGTCCGTTTGGGAATATTCTTAGTGGCTTAAATATCAGACCTGGTATCTTCTGTCCCAGCCACAGCGAGTTTATTTTTGAGTGTCTTTAAAGTCCATCTATTTTGTAAATCTGAAAACCTTCATCCAGAAGTGGCGATGATGGTAGCCTGATCTAGCACAAGTTGGAGACTTCTTGTGGCCGATAGACGGCATCCAAGCATCTGGATGCACCACATTCTTGCTGTATCCTTTGCCTCTCTTTATAGTAAAAAGCCATTTCTCCATGTTATACACCAAGCATAGAATCCTAAGTCAAGAACACCCGTCTGTGTTTCGGAAAGTTGAAAAGCGTGGTTTGGTGCCATTTTCTTCCTTGGATGCGTCCCGTCCAAGGTAAGATCTGTCCTGAAGCTGTAACTTTCTCAGAGCCTGCTGTACGGAATTTTTAGATTAAGTGGCAGGTGAGATCAGAAGATGATCCCAGGATGTAGGTGGAACACCAGGTCCCCCTGGAGGTGGAAGCATGAGAGGAGAGGACTCGGAGTCCCTGCTGTGCCGATCCCGGGGAGAGTGGCCCGGACGGAAGGAGGCGGAAAATGTGCCGAGGACCCCGTGGCGCCCGGCTTCCATCTCTGCGGGGCTGCCGCCAGCTGATGAGAACAAAGCAGCAGAGACCGTGTCCCCGCGGCAGCACTTCCGCGTCTTGATCTGATGACAGTGTTCTCATTAATAACGTGAAGATGACTGTGGCTGCCAGAGAAGTCCTGCCCTCACCCCCTCAGGCCCAGCTGCAGGGAGTGGGCTCAGCGGGCAGCCCCCAGCTGTCAAGGCCATCTTCAGCTTCCCAGCCCCGGTCATGCCCCTCCCAGCACGTCCCCAGCCAGTGACTGAGCAAGGCGGTGGCACAGGGCCTGGCCGTCTCAGGCTCGCGGGGCCCCCCTGATGGGCCGTCTGTGCTCTGGAGCTCCTGCACGGCTTGCCAGCTCTGTGCGGTGGTCTGGGGCTCCCCGACAGACCCTGCCGCCTTGTTTCTCTTTTACAGACGCTGCTCCCCAGTAAACCGTTGGCCCTCCCAACTGCACGCAGAGCCTGTTTCCCAGAGAACCCAGCCTGCAACGATTATCAGTCATTATCAAACGTGCTGAGCTAGTCTCCGTAGTGAATATTTCAGGAAAGAGAAAGTGTGAGTTAAAGAATCACAAAGCTTAACAGCACTATTTACAACAGCCAAGACACAGAAGCAACCAGCATCCATCAACAGATGAGTGGATAAAGGAGATGTGATGTGAATACACACATTTACTGCAGCATGGCTGACCTGGAGGGCACTGCGCTGAGTGAAATGAGTCAGAGAAAGACAGACCCTGCGTGGTGTCGCTCGTATGTGGGATAGAAATACGACAAACTGGCGGAAAAAACAAAACAAAACAAAAGAAGAAGCAGCCTCGCAGCTATAGGGAGCAAACTCGTTGTTACCAGTGGGGAGAGGGAGTCGGGGGAAGGGTTATTATGGGGTCATGTGAAATCAAGTGCGCGAAACTTCTGAAAATCGGAAAGTCCTATAGAATTTAAAGGACCGTTTGTTTAAAAATAAATAAATGAATAAATAAATTTTGATTGGGACAGAAAAAGAATCATAAAACTTAGGCCTGAGCAGAAGCTTTCTCTCTTGAGTCTGGAGACTCCCACCCATCCCAGCTGTGCTTTTTCAGGGCTCAGAGTTGCTCGTTTGGTTTGGCAGCGACCTGACTGCTGAGACCCTCGTCCACATCCTCAGCTCCAGGCTCTGGTCCCCTTGGACCAGCCTCCTTGCCTGTGACATTTTCCTGCAGCCTCTGGGTGGCGCTCTGGTTCCCACTGCCGCTTGCGCCTTCTGCACCTCGCCGGGCTCTTCCGGTTGACCTGCTGGTGGGACAGTGCTTGCACTGGTTCCTGTCACCATATGCTGTGGAGAGCTGACTTCTGTTTTCCACTTCTTCTGATTTCCTTTTAACGTAATGGAACTTGACAAAACACAATCTAGTTTTCACATTTAGACCCTCCTGTGTGTTGTCCACCTCCAGTTCGTGTTGGCGTATGTTGCAAAGGGAAGTACTTTTTTTTTTTTAAAC